TCAGGGGTAAAATTTGAGACAAATTGCATTTATTTGCTTTGAATGGCCGCCATTTTGCTCTTGAAAATATAGCAACTCTACAATGCTACAGTAGCCCCACTTCCTACATAAGTCGGGTCATCCGTCTGGGCTTTTTTTCGGCATGTGTGGAGTGTCCTCGATGCTACTTCGAACTTCCCACCCTCGTGGTCCATTCTAGCCACTGTAGCTGCCTCCTCCAATTCCGTCCCATTCCATCAGAAAAACAGGACTCAAGAGAAGGCCGGAAGGAAATGACCCCAGATTTCCGCAGCCGAGCCTCTGAAACCCAGTTCATCTAAAGTGAGAATCGAAGCTGAGAATGGCTTTGAGCGCGTGCAGAGTGCATTTCCCTAGCTACTGAGCTGCGAGGTCAGAAAGCCAACAGGCCAGTCTCACCCCAGGATCCTCTCCATACAAAAAGATATACATTTGCGTCAATGGAGTGGATATGAAACGCCCCCCATATTCGTTCCCTCCCGGCTTCTTCCCAGCTTTTCTTTACTCTCCACTCCTCCCGCCCCGCCCAAAGTGCTGCTCCTTCTTCCTCCACTCTCCGAGGCCCAGCAATGGCAAGGAAGCGCCCACGGCACTGCCTGCTGTCAGGCCTTCTCCGGCCCTCCACAGAGCGCAGGCCGCCGCTCCAGCAGGGTCGTTCCGACTGCGCGCGCCCCTCTACGGGCCGGCCTGCTTTCAGCTCCAAAGCACCCCTGACTGACCTCCGCTCGCGGGGAATCATCATCCGCCTTTTTGTCCCTAGCCTCAAAGTCGTCCTGCAACGCACAGCACCTCTTCCCCACAGCCACAATCCTTACAGGTATGAAGGAAACTGCCCCTTCACATCAACACCCAGGGATCTCACCCCCCGCTTCTGGTATTATTAGTATTAGTATTAGCATTGGTATTGGTATTAGTATTATTTAGTAGGAATCGGGAATTTCGCTCCGACACCGAACTCGTACCTTTGCCTAGAAACACTGCACAAAAGGAAGTCTGGATGAGCCCTGAGTCTCTCCTCTCCTTAGATCAGCAAGTTAAAATCGAACCCCTCGACACCCCCACCCAACCACCCTCAAAAACCCAACCCCAAATTATTTTCCTTTGCGCACGGCCTGTCTCCAGGGATCTAGAGAGGAGTGAGACTGTTACGGAGGGCGCGCACACAGAGAGGGTTTTTTTGCTTCCCCATCATGCCAAGTTAACATACGCCCCCTCCCTTCTGCATTGGAGGGCGCTGTCAGTTTTTATCTCCGCTTTTGCCTTCCCCGCCTCCTACTCGTTTGCGGGAGAGAGACAGCAGAGACAGAAAAGTTCACTCAGCAAATACATATCCAGCAACCAGCGTGAGTTGAGTTTGTGAGACTCTCCCGCCCCTTTCCCAGCTTTACCGAAGTCTCCTTAAAAGGGAGCCGGGTTAAGTAGGGAGTGGGTTAGATATTGGGAGCGAGGAAACGCGCAAGCGCCCGTCACATCAGACTTCTAAGCGGCCCAGTAAGAGCGAGCGAAACAGCCATGCACAATCCTAAAGTTTGCGTGCTTGGGTAGCGAAGAAGCAAGGGTGCCTCTTCTAAGCTACCTGCTAGACAGCAGTGGCCTTACCCTTTTCAAAGGCACCGGCCAATCCACTACTGAGTGAAGGGGCGGGAAGCCCGTTGGGCCGGCCTTATTTAGCATGAGAACAGGGCCAAGAGCGCTGGTCAGAAGACCAACGAGAAAGCTGACCGCAAGCTCCGTTAGGCGCGCAAGACAGAAAGATGGAGCAGTGCCACCGGCGCGGCCGAAGGCTTCTGGTCCAGCGGAAAACGCGCTGAATGGGAGAGTAATATGCATTCCTCTCCCCCTTATTTTTTGGTTTTAGGTGGCAGTCCTAACCCCATTTACCTAGGAGTAAGCACAATTGACTTCAATGGAACAGACATGATTAGGATTGAACTGTAAGTCTATCATTTGAAAAACACTTTTGCACGGAAGGAGTGATGTAAGAAGGACATGAATTGGGTGAAGGGCGGTATACACATTTAAATAATAATAATAATAATAATAATAATAATAATCAACGTTGGGCGGGGTTTTTTTTGGACTCCACTCCCTGCGCCCCCCACCCTCTCCATCCAACGCTTTGGGGACCTTTCTAAACAGCTTTGCGATCTTTTCTGACGGAAAGCGCGGTATAAAAGCACTTGGAATAAATACATCAATATAAGGATCAGGCCGGAGAGGGCCCACGACAGCAAACTCGAGTTTCACTGGCTTAGGGAATACGAGGCTGATAACTTGGAATACTAGGATCCGCGTGTGGCCGCAATAACAGTTGAGAGTGGACTCGTGGAGTGGTGGGATGTGCTTGGGAAATGGAGGTTGGGAATGATGGCTTGGGTCTCTTTGGAGGAGGAGAGAGAGAGGTAAAAGCAGGTGTTGGTTCAAGGAACCCCTCGGAAATGAAAAACGAGTCGAGTCAACATGCGGGGTGGGGGTGGGGCTTCAGAGAGACTTCAGAAAAGTCCACTCAGCAGAATAAGCTGGGGAGGGGAAGGGGAGCTCGTCACATTTTGAAGTACAGTAGTTGAAGGAGTCCATGTTACCATCTAAAGAGAGAGCCGCTCCTCCCGCACGTAAGGCCATGGAGTCCGGAGCCTAGAATTACCTAACCGCACCTCGGGGGACTCTCCTGGCCGAGGGACACCCCGGCAGTCCTTCCAAGAGGCAGGATCCACGGCCGCAGGCAGCTCAGTCCCCTGTCCTTCAAACATTTCAGCTCACCCCCCTTCAAACCCCGCCTCCCCACCCCTACCGCCAGCCTTGGACTCGAACAGTGATGCCAAAGGACGGCGAGTGCCACTGAACAAGGACCGATGGTGCCACGAGTGATGAGTTCCAAAGAAAGACAGTCAACAAGAATGGGATGCCAGCAGGCTAAGCTAAGCGCGAGAGAGATGCCTGTCTGTGGGGACCACCTGCATAGGTGGACGAAGGTGCCCCACTACTCAGACACCAAGGGGGCCCAGGAAAAGGAGCCATCTGTGCCAAGGGGAGCCTCCAGCTGCCACTCCTACCCCCGGGACTTGCTGCCCCCAAGCATGCAGAGGGATCGCGGCCCCTCCTAAAAATGGGCGCGTCTCAAGTTTGGGATGCTCTGCCTCCGGTCTTTACCTGCACCCCTTGGGCTAAGTTGCACTCAGTGCGCCGACCAAGATATCCCGACTCTCCACGCAAATACGTGCCCCCCCCTTTATTCTGAAAAGAAGAGCGGTGCTCCCTTTCTCCATCCCTGAGAGCCGGCCACCTGCTTAGTGGATGTGGGCGCCCAGCGGGAGAAGACCGAGCTGGGGGGCTCTGTTTCGAAACTCGCTCCAAACTCTGTGCCCGCCTCCCCGAAGGGCGAGCCTCCGAAGCGCCAAGTCAGCCTCTCTCCCCAGGAAGCGCGTGGTGCTGAACTCGCACCCAAGGAAGCCTCCCACAAACTTGGAAGACGCTCCGGGAGAAGTTGTCACGCAGGATGCCGCTCGTGAAACTTCTGCTGGAGTATCAGGAGAAGAAGGCGGAGAAGGAGCTCAGACCCCACTGAGACACCTTTCTTAATAATAATAATAATAATACTAGAAGACATGCTTCCGAAAAAGAGAGACACGAACGTGAGAACTTTCTGACAACGTCAGCATCCATTTCCTCTCCATCTTTGATCCCTTCTCGACGCCCCGAAGCCCCCCCCGCCCCCCCCCCGGCGCCCGGAGCAGGGGTTCCGCCAAGCCCCCCTTGGGCCGCCCGACGCCCCGCTCTCCCCGCGGATCCCGATGCAGCAGCCCTTACCTCGCATGATGCTGGCGCTTCCCTGCTCCGCGCAGTCATGTAGCTCCCAGCTTTAAAATCCCCTTCTTGGCGAGAGCGCAGGCTGCTCGGCGGCGAAGAGCATTCCTCCTCCGAGGCTGCGCTCGCCCGGGCTTCCTCTCGCACCCTTTGCTTGCTCGCAGACGCCAATTCTGGCCGCGGCCGGAGAAGCCGCCTCCGCCTCAGCCCGGGCTCTTTCTGGGTTGTGGCGCTTGGGCGTCCGGGCCGCCCCTCCTCCGCGCTCGCTCTCCGCGTCCCAGGCGCCCCCGAGCGACTCTCGAGATTTCTTTTGTGATCCCTTGAACGGAGGAGCGCCGGCCGCGGCGGCGGCGGCGGCGGGAGGAGGAGACGGGCGAGGGAGGGGTCGCGGTCGCCTTGTCAGTTTCGGAGCAGGAGAGAGAAATGAGGGCGCGAGGGGGGACGGGAGTTTCTTTCTCGAAAAAGAAGACGCCGAAAGACCAGGGCCGTGGCGAGGGAAGAGCCTGTGCGTTTCTCACATGACACCCGCGCCTGTCGGAGCAGCTTTCTTTCCCCGGCGCGACTTGGTCCCCGGCTTCGCTTTTGACAGGGACGCGCCGAGCGCGGGAGACGGAGGGCGAGAGGTGCTGAGGGAAAGCTGGCAAGAGGCTTATAGCGGAGGGCGGGCGGGAGCCGGCGACTTCCAGCCCCGCCCCCTGTCAGCGCCTCGGCCAATCGGAAGGCGCCCGAGGTGGGAGCCCGGCGGAGGGAGAAGCTCCGGCTCGGACGCGGGGGGGGGGGGGCGGGGCCAAGGAGAAGGCGCGCCGGCGCACGGAGACGCGGAGCTGGACTGGGCTCTGGGCTGGCGCGCCTCTCGCCGGGTGACAAGGCGCCGTGTGGTAAAAGCTGCGCTCTCCCGTCAAGCCGAGGAGGCCGCGGGAAGGACTTCGCCCTCTGGAAATGTGCCCCCCACAACCCCCCCATCTCTGCCAGTCCCTCACCCGCAAATAACTCGAAGGGATTCTCAAAGGAGACGCGCGCAGATAGCGGGGCTGAGCAGCCCAAGCGCCCCACCCCCGTCGGGCCAGCCCCGCTCCAGGACGGGAGAGCCCTTCGGAAAGCCCGGCTGGTCCCGTCGGGGACTCCCTCGGAACTTCCCGCTCGGACCTCCCCTCTCTCGGCTCTTCCTGGCCCAGAAGATGGTCGAGAGTCGCTTGTTTCTGGCCTCCTACGAGCAGGGTCCCGTCTTCAACAGGAGGCAAACCGCCGAACACATAGAATTTATTCGACATGGTTTCTTTCAGACAGTTGTGAGAACATCCGAAGAAGCTCGCACCATGCTTCGGATTCAGGAGGCTGTTGCTTATTAAGTGCATGCCAGAGAAAGCCAGGGAGACTTCAAAGCAGAGAACCTGTGGCCTCCAGATGTTGCAGGATACCTGGCCATTGCACATGCTGGCTGGAGCTCATAGGAGTTGGAGTCCAACAACATCTGGAGGGCCATAGTTTCTGCAACCCTACTTTAAAGTGTCACAATGTTCTCTCCTACTAAGGATTCAGAGTGATTGGAGATGCCAGGGTTTCTTTTGTTTGGATGTCAGACATACTAATTCAGTGTAAGAGGCACCTGCAAAATTTGTGAAGGCAATGATGAATCCCATACTGATCTTCAGAATAGCTGACAGGCTCAGCATAGACAGAACTGCCCAAACCTAGGATTTCAAAGCCCCTGCTTTGATTGAAGTTTCTACCTCCTTGTCTGGTAGGTACTGAAGTGTGGCATCCAGAGGACATGCAAATCATGTTGGAGCAATTCCTTTGTGTAGTTCTGTTGCCCAAATGTATACACTGAGAATCCAGCTGCCAGTTCAGCGGCTGAAGTCTTCCATTTGTACAGTGATACTGCTTCAATAATAGGCCTCTTCATAGGTTCCCTCCATGCAGGGTTGAGCATGTTGACTCTACCTGCACACGAGGCAGGAAAGGCAATTTTGTGTGAGGAGGCTTGTGTGAGGAACATTGCATGACCACAGTTCTCAATCATAGTCTATATAGAAGCACCTTGTACTGCATATGTGTGTATAGAGGTCAAGGTTGGGGCTAGCTGGTTAGCGGATTTCAGAGGTGGATGCATCAGATTGGATTCTAGTCCTTTCCTCACCACGTTCACTGAATGTAGGGAAGAATGTCTGAGCTCATCAGAGAGGGATAGATGAGTCTGTTAATACTTATTTCTACCAGTTCTTCATCATTTAAAGGTTTAAATTCAGTTTGTCCCATTGCCATGTCAGTTTGCAAACTTAAAAATAAATAAATCAGCACCAAAAATTATTATTCATTGCATGCACATTTCTTGAATACTCATTTTTGTATGGTGGTTTGACTGATATACACATGTTTACAATAAATTCCCCTAATACAAAGCATTTTGCACATATAAATGCATCTTGTGCACACTTCCTCCTAAGAGGCACTTTTTTGCATGTATTTTTGGGTTGAGATCTCAGTTGCAAAATTCAGGTAATTTCACATTCAAGTTGCAAACTAGGATTTTGGTCTGAGACAATGAACAATGTTTTGGAAGTTTTGTGAATATTGCTTTCAGTCTCACAGAATTCAGAATGACCATCAGAATTTTTGAAGCAAGATGCAAAATGAATGGAACAAGCATATTTAATTTGCTCTTCCTCCTATTCCTCAAATGTGGTGAGAAGCATTTCCTGCACTTCCTGTTTAGTGCTAATCTATGCAGTCATCAATAGTATGTGCTGCAGTTTAGAAATATTCACACGACCATTCTTGTTGAGCTAATTCATTGCAACTTAGGCATGCTAATTTTTTTTCTTATTATGCTGTATGACTCTGAATAAGAGTTAGCTAAGTAGTAATGCATGCCTAGTAATGAGTGGAGGGGGGGCAAGAGCACATAAGTAGAGTCACATTCCCATGTGCATTGCATTTTTGCCTCCCTTGTGCTGGCTCTGTGGGGATTCCCAAGGCTGATGTGCATCCGCAGGCACATTTACAAGCTTGGATTTGCATATGTCATCTAGCTTCCTGACATCAAGTGGTGTGCTTACTTGCACATGTAGAAGGGAGACTTCTGGATCATCTCTTTTTCTCACCACAGAACGGGATTCTTTACAAATCTGTACACTTAAAATATCCATTCCGTGCACTAGGTTGCTATCAGATGCCTATATAAATTGCTGGATCAGGGGTTGGATTTTATTTGGTAAAAAACTGAGTCTAATTCCTCTGCTTAGTTTCAAATATGTTAGTTAACAAGCTGAAAACAAATAAAGAATTATCAAAGGTACATCATTCATATGTGTGGATTTCAGGTAGAACAAAGAAAAGTTGCATTCGGAATAGTCAGCAACAGAAGCACCTTTCTGCAGCTGTGTGTGCGACATATTTTAAGGCTATGCTTAAAGGGCGCAGCACTTCATTACTCTTAAACAACTAAGCGACGACAATCAGAGCTGCATTAACATCGTACCACATTATGCCTAATTTACTTACTTCATTAAAAATTACTGGAGAGAAAACATGGTCATTAAGCCTTCTGCACCTACTGAATGGCTTCTGCACCCCCAACCCCTCTTTCTGTTTTAGGGAGAGAAAGAATTATGTGACCCAGAATCACTATTTGTTTCTGTGCTTCATTAAAAAGCAGGATAGGGCACTGTGCAATATTTGAATTGCATCTGCCCGAAGCAAATATAACTTGAATGCCAGGCATTCCTAACCTTTCAGAAGTCACTGAATACAGTACTGTACTTGAAAACTTTCTTTTAAGCATTTGCATTACAAACATGGAAGCAGAAAATTGTCTCTGCTGCTTCAAGAACACAGGCATCTCTCTCTGAGAAGCTGTAGCTGGAGCTCACTTTCTGCATTATGTAACTCTTCCCTGCTTCTTTGTTGCTACTCTCTGCTTTAAAATGATACATAAGGCATGCACAGAGAAACATTATGTCTAGTCAAACTCCTGCATCGCTTATCATTCATTTTATGTCAGGTTGCATTAATATACTTCCCTTTTCTTGAAGGGCATGCCATTTTCTTCTGATTTGTATAGCAAGGTGTGTTTTAAAAACACCAAGAAAAACTTGTTAAATTAGCAATACTTTACATAATCAGTTACATAATTTAAAATATTTCACAAGAATATTATTAACGTTATGTCTTTATGCATTATTAGATTCAATAGTTCGCTCAGCACAGTAAAAAACCCAGACCTAATATTTTATCTATGCTTCTAACTGAATCAACATGAAGTGTTAATTTTTCTAAAGATCATACTGTACCTCTAGAATGTTCACAATATTTTACAATACTGAGATGCAACTTCTAACCTTAATTTTTTCCTGCACATTAAGAAATGTACTTTAAAATACTATTTATTGATTAAAATATATTTATATTTTTTTCAAATGTACAGTTATGTTCAAAATTAGCTATAAATTGTAATTTATGAATGATGATCTATATCCTACAATTTTCATGAACTATGGTTTGATTTTTTAAAAACCAGAACAACAAAATAAAGCTTAGAATCATAGAACTGTAGATTTGGAAGAGACCCTAAGGGTCATCTAGTCTAACCCCCTGCAATGCAAGAATCTCAACTAGATCATACATAACAGATGGCCAGCCAAACTCTGCTTAAAATCTTCCAAGGAAGGAGAGTCTACCACCTCCTGAGGGTGACCGTTCCACTTTCAAATAGCTCTTTACTGTCATAAAGTTCCTGATTTTAGTCAGAACCTCCTTTTTTTTTGTAACTTGAAGCCATTGGTTTGGGTCCTAGCCTCCAGATCAGAAGAAAACAAGCTTGCTCAATCTTTCACATGACAGCCCTTGAGATATTTGAAGATGGCTATCGTATCACCTCTCAATCTGCTCTTGGTTTCCCCTTGATCAGTTGCCCTCTGCACATGTTCCAACTTGTCAATATCCTCCTTAACTTGTAGTGCCCATAACTAGGCACAGTATTCCAGGTGTGGTTGTACTAAGGCAGAATAGAGTGGAACTATTGCCCCCTTGATTAGAACACTATACTTCTGTTGATGCAACCTAGAATAGCATTAGCTTGCTTGCTTGCTTGCTTGCTTGCTTGCTTTCTGCTGCATCACATGTTAAGCTTGTGGTCTACTAAGATCCCCCAGATCCTTTCCACCTGTACTACTGGCAATCTAGATGTCTCCCATGTGAATCTAGTTCTTCCTGCCTAAGTGTAGAACCTTAAATTTGTCCTTATTGAAAATCATTTTGTTAGTTTTGGCCCAGAGGCAGAAAAGATTAATGATGTTTCAGAATGAATTCTGGTTTCATCCTGAATCATGGTTATGGCTTATGCCATGGTATTGTGTCCAAATTGAAAAAGTTATTGTGTGTGAGTAGGCAGGAAGACAGATTCAAAATCCATGCTCTGAAGTTGGTTTCTAAGTTTCATGCTCTGAAGTGTCATGAAGTCTGAATTGAAAAACTACAGTTACAACCAGTTACAACCTCTGGAGGCTACTTCTCTTACAGATGGGAATATTTTATGGAAAGGAAAGAAGTCACATAGCTCTAAACCACAGTCTGAACTTCCGAACCATGGTCTGACATGAGGTCTAAATTCAGCATCAGTATTGCAGAATACACATCTCTTCCCACACCTGTTTCATTTTCACTTCCAGAGCACACCCTTTAGAGAATGTGTGAGTGGGGAATGTGTCTACATCTGCTTGTTTTAACATATGCTATTTTTCTAGAAAAAGAGGTGCCGGAACTCACCATGAACACCACCCTCATTCTCTTAGAATGGCAATGGCGCCCGCCTGAGAGGTGCCAGAACTGAGTTCCGGTGACTTTCTGCTGAAAAAACAAACAAACCCTGGTTTTAACAGACAATGAAAAATGGAGAACCAAACATCACACTTTTTATTTTCCTTTATTTTCCCTTCTTAAATGAGATTATGTGCATGCAGATATTAAAAGAAAGGTCAGAATCTGAATTTGAGATTTGAGTTTTAAGTTCTAAGACAATGTTCAGTTTTTTGTGAACCTGCATAGTGTAGTGTTAAAATTTTCTTTGGGATTTCATTAAAACAAACAAACATAGGTTTGAATATCACATTTTCTATGATACATCAAACATATTCAGCCTCCGAGGTTCCACATCCTTTCTCAAGATTCCTGGTAAATGCTTGTGCTGTTAATTTTCCAGGCTGGCACAGGGTATGAAGAACGGCAAACATTTGTTCAGAAAGAGGGAGGTACGTTGTAGTGGGCCAACTCAAGTAATGAGGGAAGCCTTAGCAACTTTTCTGCATGCTGTAGTTGCTAGCCTGTATTTTAGCAGGTCTCTCCTTCCCCC